ATTATTTTAATCATATTGGATATCTCAGGATGATGGACATCCTACAATATAATCAGGATGTAGAATACCCGCGGAGGAATCCGGCGGCTGTAACAAGTATATAGGACTCCCACTGAGGCACAACATACTAGAATTATATCAAAGGAAAGCAGATATCCATAGATGCGATGCCTTCTACAATATTCAGAGTGCAGGATATCAACAGCTCTCAGATATGCTTTCATTGTCGTCAGGATCAAGGATATCCAAAAGAATAATTGAGGCTCCCTCTAGTGGATATCTAACATCCTAATTCAGGCAGGACTCTCTCCAGTGGACATCCAACATCCTGTTTCAGGCAGGACTCTCTCCAGTGGACGTCCAACTTCCTGATTCAGGCAGGACTCTCTCCAGTGGATATGGAATATCCTGATTCAACCAGGACTTTCCCCAGTGGATATCCAACAGCCTGATTCTGTCAGGACTTTCTTCAGTGGATATTGAAAATCCTGATTCAGGCAGGACTCTCCAGTGGATATCCAACATCCTGATTCAGGCAGGACTTACTCTAGTGGATATCCAACATCCTGATGACATTGTAGACAGAGAAATTTTCTACACAGTGATTGTAGGCTGTTATAGGCTTGAAGATATGAAAAAAGTGTCTACATAAATGACGAAGAAATAAATTCATAATTTTTTAATATCCATTTATTATTAGGCTCATTATAATTATTAATACTTGCTCATCAACTCATTTTTCTTAATAATATGTTGAGAAAACATGATGATATGTTTGATATTTGAATTGGCTGTATCTCGGTAAATATATGTGTAAAAGGCTTAATTTTGCAAATTAGCAAAGAAAGAGTTAACAGAAAGAAACGTCCAGCGATGCGGTAATTCTAATGGTAGCATTTTGAAAACGATTCTATGGCTGGTTTTGATTTTGAGTTTTGAGAAAAATGACGATTTCGCCGAGGTGGCGATTTTTCCGTGGCAGCTCCGCTTTGCGCCATCTTGACGGCCACACAGCTCAGTGGTCAGTTAAATCAGTAAATAATTGTCAAAAGATGGCGCAAAGCGGAGCTGCCACGGAAAAATCGCCACCTCGGCGAAATCGTCATTTTTCGCAAAACTCAAAATCAAAACCAGCCATAGAATCGTTTTCAAAATGCTACCATTAGAATTACCGCACCTCTGGACGTTTCTTTCTGTTAACTCTTTCTTTGCTAATTTGCAAAATTAAGCCTTTTACACATATATTTACCGAGATACAGCCAATTCAAATATCAAACATATCATCATGTTTTCTCAACATATTATTAAGACAAATGAGTTGATGAGCATGTATTAATAATTATAATGAGCCTAATAATAAATGGATATTAAAAAATTATGAATTTATTTCTTCGTCATTTATGTAGATACTTTTTTTATATCTTCAAGCCTATAACAGCCTACAATCACTGTGTAGAAAATTTCTGTCTACATTGTCATCAGGATGTTGGATATCCACTGGAGAGAGTCCTGTCTGTATCAGGATGTTGGATGTCCAGTGGAGAGAGTCCTGCCTGAATCTGGATGTTGGATGTCCACTGGAGAGAGTCCTGGCCTGAATCAGGATGTTGGATATCCACTGTAGAGAGTCCTGCCTGAATCAGGATGTTGGATATCCACTGGAGAGAGAGTCCTGGTTGAATATGGATGTTGGATATCAACTGGAGAGAGTTCGGCCTCAATTAGGATGTTGAATCTCCACTGGAGACAGTCCTGCCAGAATCATGATATTTAATGTCCACTGGAGAGAGTCCTGCCTTGATCATGATGCTAGATGTCCACTATGAGGAATTTGCCCTCATTATTTTAATCATATTGGATATCTCAGGATGATGGACATCCTACAATATAATCAGGATGTAGAATACCCGCGGAGGAATCCGGCGGCTGTAACAAGTATATAGGACTCCCACTGAGGCACAACATACTAGAATTATATCAAAGGAAAGCAGATATCCATAGATGCGATGCCTTCTACAATATTCAGAGTGCAGGATATCAACAGCTCTCAGATATGCTTTCATTGTCGTCAGGATCAAGGATATCCAAAAGAATAATTGAGGCTCCCTCTAGTGGATATCTAACATCCTAATTCAGGCAGGACTCTCTCCAGTGGACATCCAACATCCTGTTTCAGGCAGGACTCTCTCCAGTGGACGTCCAACTTCCTGATTCAGGCAGGACTCTCTCCAGTGGATATGGAATATCCTGATTCAACCAGGACTTTCCCCAGTGGATATCCAACAGCCTGATTCTGTCAGGACTTTCTTCAGTGGATATTGAAAATCCTGATTCAGGCAGGACTCTCCAGTGGATATCCAACATCCTGATTCAGGCAGGACTTACTCTAGTGGATATCCAACATCCTGATGACATTGTAGACAGAGAAATTTTCTACACAGTGATTGTAGGCTGTTATAGGCTTGAAGATATGAAAAAAGTGTCTACATAAATGACGAAGAAATAAATTCATAATTTTTTAATATCCATTTATTATTAGGCTCATTATAATTATTAATACTTGCTCATCAACTCATTTTTCTTAATAATATGTTGAGAAAACATGATGATATGTTTGATATTTGAATTGGCTGTATCTCGGTAAATATATGTGTAAAAGGCTTAATTTTGCAAATTAGCAAAGAAAGAGTTAACAGAAAGAAACGTCCAGCGATGCGGTAATTCTAATGGTAGCATTTTGAAAACGATTCTATGGCTGGTTTTGATTTTGAGTTTTGCGAAAAATGACGATTTCGCCGAGGTGGCGATTTTTCCGTGGCAGCTCCGCTTTGCGCCATCTTGACGGCCACACAGCTCAGTGGTCAGTTAAATCAGTAAATAATTGTCAAAAGATGGCGCAAAGCGGAGCTGCCACGGAAAAATCGCCACCTCGGCGAAATCGTCATTTTTCGCAAAACTCAAAATCAAAACCAGCCATAGAATCGTTTTCAAAATGCTACCATTAGAATTACCGCACCTCTGGACGTTTCTTTCTGTTAACTCTTTCTTTGCTAATTTGCAAAATTAAGCCTTTTACACATATATTTACCCAGATACAGCCAATTCAAATATCAAACATATCATCATGTTTTCTCAACATATTATTAAGACAAATGAGTTGATGAGCATGTATTAATAATTATAATGAGCCTAATAATAAATGGATATTAAAAAATTATGAATTTATTTCTTCGTCATTTATGTAGATACTTTTTTTATATCTTCAAGCCAATAACAGCCTACAATCACTGTGTAGAAAATTTGTCTACATTGTCATCAGGATGTTGGATATCCACTGGAGAGAGTCCTGTCTGAATCAGGATGTTGGATGTCCAGTGGAGAGTCCTGGCCTGAATCAGGATGTTGGATGTCCACTGGAGAGAGTCCTGCCTGGAGGATCATGGAATGCTAGATGTCCACTATGAGGAATTTGCCCTCATTATTTTAATCATATTGGATATCTCAGGATGATGGACATCCTACAATATAATCAGGATGTAGAATACCCGCGGAGGAATCCGGCGGCTGTAACAAGTATATAGGACTCCCACTGAGGCACAACATACTAGAATTATATCAAAGGAAAGCAGATATCCATAGATGCGATGCCTTCTACAATATTCAGAGTGCAGGATATCAACAGCTCTCAGATATGCTTTCATTGTCGTCAGGATCAAGGATATCCAAAAGAATAATTGAGGCTCCCTCTAGTGGATATCTAACATCCTAATTCAGGCAGGACTCTCTCCAGTGGACATCCAACATCCTGTTTCAGGCAGGACTCTCTCCAGTGGACGTCCAACATCCTGATTCAAGTAGGACTCTCTCCAGTGGACGTCCAACTTCCTGATTCAGGCAGGACTCTCCCCAGTGGATATCCAACATCCTGATTCAGTCAGGACTTTCTTCAGTGGATATGGAAAATCCTGATTCAGGCAGGACTCTCCAGTGGATATCCAACATCCTAATTCAGGCAGGACTTACTCTAGTGGATATCCAACATCCTGATGACATTGTAGACAGAAATTTTCTACACAGTGATTGTAGGCTGTTGTAGGCTTGAAGATATGAAAAAAGTGTCTACATAAATGACGAAGAAATAAATTCATAATTTTTTAATAACCATTTATTATTAGGCTCATTATAATTATTAATACTTGCTCATCAACTCATTTTTCTTAATAATATGTTGAGAAAACATGATGATATGTTTGATATTTGAATTGGCTGTATCTCGGTAAATATATGTGTAAAAGGCTTAATTTTGCAAATTAGCAAAGAAAGAGTTAACAGAAAGAAACGTCCAGCGATGCGGTAATTCTAATGGTAGCATTTTGAAAACGATTCTATGGCTGGTTTTGATTTTGAGTTTTGCGAAAAATGACGATTTCGCCGAGGTGGCGATTTTTCCGTGGCAGCTCCGCTTTGCGCCATCTTGACCGCCACACAGCTCAGTGGTCAGTTAAATCAGTAAATAATTGTCAAAAGATGGCGCAAAGCGGAGCTGCCACGGAAAAATCGCCACCTCGGCGAAATCGTCATTTTTCGCAAAACTCAAAATCAAAACCAGCCATAGAATCGTTTTCAAAATGCTACCATTAGAATTACCGCACCTCTGGACGTTTCTTTCTGTTAACTCTTTCTTTGCTAATTTGCAAAATTAAGCCTTTTACACATATATTTACCGAGATACAGCCAATTCAAATATCAAACATATCATCATGTTTTCTCAACATATTATTAAGCAAAATGAGTTGATGAGCAAGTAATAATAATTATAATGAGCCTAATTATAAATGGATATTAAAAAATTATGAATTTCTTTCTTTGTCATTTATGTAGATACTTTTTTTATATCTTCAAGCCTATAACAGCCTACAATCACTGTGTAGAAAATTTCTCTGTTTACAATGTCATCAGGATGTTGGATATCCACTAGAGTGAGTCCTGCCTAAACCAGGATGTTTAATATCCTCTGGAGAGTCCTGCCTGAACCAGGATGTTCAATATCCACTGAAGAAAGTCCTGACAAAATCAGGACTGGAGAGTCATCCCTGAATCAGGATGTTGGATGTCCACTGGAGAGAGTCCTGCCAGAATCAGGATGTTGGATACCCACTGGAGAGTCATGGTTGAATCAGGATGTTGGATATCCACTGCGGAGAGTCCTGGTTGAATCAGGATGTTGTATATCCACTGCAGAGAGTCCTGCCTCAATCAGGATGTTGAATCTCCACTGGAGAGAGTCCGGCCAGAATCCGGATGTTTAA